TGTTCTGTTTCTTATCGTATTTCTCTGGCAAGTCAAATATCCTCGAGATCATAGAGAACTTGGAGATAATTAAGTGATATTCAGATAAGTTGTCACTTGGCCAGTATGTTGTTTTATGAGGGACTAAGAACTAGAACACAGGGCTCCTGATTCCAAACTCCATGTTTTGTTTTTTTTTTCCCCATATATTGTATCACATCAAATACTGAATCAAGTTAAATCAAGGTATTTTCCCATTAATATTTTATTTGCAATTTTAGTGCTTCCACTAACTGCCTTAAATTGGATAATACATTCTTTTGATTGGGCCGCAGTTTTAAAAACTACTAACTTATAATGGGTTTATTACATATCATGATTTTTTGTGGTGTGTGGACTAGGTTTGAACTCAGGGCCTATACCTTGAGCCAGTTTTTGTGATGGGTTTTTTCAAGTTAGGGTCTTGTGAACTATTTGCCCGGGCTGGCCTCGAACCGAGATCCTCCTAATCTCTGCCTCCTGAGAGCTAGGAATAACAGCATGAGCCACTCGCTCTGGCATATAATTTTGATTACCATTATAATTTCCCACTTTTGTGTTCTTATTTGAGTATAGCCAAGAAGAGTATAGTGTGGGGTATCTTTTCTTAACAAAATTTACATACAGTCTTTGTAGGTGATGATGGCTAGCAGTATCACTTTTGTGGCTCTCTCATATATATTCTGTTACTTTGTTGAATTTCTTCTCCAAGTAATGTTAATTTTCTTGGTTTAAATTTAATACTTCAAAAACATTTTTAAAAATTTTCATACTTTAAGTGCTAGATCTTCCCTCTTTAGCACTAGCTCTAGCTCTGTTTGCTTTAACTGCAATTTTTTAATTGGATGTGGTATGGGACCCTAGACTGCTTAACTCTGTATTTCTTTTACACAAGAGACTAGACCACTTGCATTTAAAATATGGTTCAGTCATGGCTGAACATATTCTTACTGACTCAATACCATATCCCATTAATCCTTACAGTAACTCTAATTAGTCATTAATTAACTACCATGTAACTGTGCCCCCATTACTTGAGGTGGCAGAGGTGTCTGCTGAAGATAAGCCCAGGAAGGTAAAATCACCAGATATAACTACTTGCCTTGTCTGGTAGAAAGAAACATGGTTGTTTACCTACTGGAATAGGTCCCTGTTTTCCCTCCTATCCCTGTTTTATTGCTGCTTCTTATAATAAAGTTTCCAACGAGGAAGTATGATGTTGAAAAATATTCTATTTATTAATAGAAATATTGCTATTAAATATAAACAGGTATTACTTCAAAAGTATTTCAACTCCAGAAATTTTACATTCACAAGAAGTTTTATTTAAAAGGAGTTGCATTTAAAAGTGCCTCATCTACATTTTCCATCAGTTACTTCTTTGTTGATAAACCTTGAGATTTTTAAGAGAGAGATGAGTGAATACAAAGAGAAAAAACAAAAACAAAAGAGACTGAACTTTCAGGAGCTGGGAAAAGGAAGTCAATAATGACATAAATCAAGGCAGACAGAAATTTTAAGAAGGAATGTACTTCAGTCAATGATGTGAAATACTGTGTATAACTTTTAGAAGGAAATAACAAAATTTCTTTTTCCTCAGTCTTATTCAGGCCCAACTAGGATGCATTCCTGTACAAGATTTTGCTTTGACACAAGACACAGCGAAGATTTTTAGAAATGGCTCACGAATTGCAAGATGTATGTTTTAGGATAGTTGATTTTCAATGTTTTTCCAGTAAATTAGTGTACTAGGTTTAATATTGGAAACTTTTTCTTTTAGGGTTGTCAGATTTTGTGGCTGCTCAGGAGAAGAAGTTCACTGCTCTATTGAATAGTTTGATTTTAGCTAAATGTTTTAGGTGTAAACTTTGGGAAAACTCTCTGTATGTATCCAAACAGCTGGAAAAAATTGGTAGGTACTGAGTACAGCAGGCAGTCTGTCATTGTCTGCAATTTATTTTACATTTCACTGTTAAGAGAATTATGCTATGATGATTATAGACCTGTAAAGGAAAACATGTTTTATGGGCCTAAATAAATACTCTACTTTATTTTTGAAAATATGATTTTCATTTGCTTTTTGTTACATTTGAAATCAACTGAATAGTGCATGAAAAATCTAATAAAAATACACCCATTTTAAAATTTGTTCTCATACTGAGAATGAACTTGTTTCAGTAATTAGGTAACTATGTGATGCTGACTTTCACTTCTGTGGCTAATATTTAACTGTGTTTCAATGACAAGATATCTAGCAATCTTAGCCATTATTAATTAATTATAGACACTTATGTTACTTATATATTTTTCCACTTTCAGCAATAGTAGGATATTAGTGTTGATCTTCATATAGATTCTGTAGACAAAACATTGTGCCTGATTATTTTCTTTCTATTGGAGATTAGTATAAGATACTCACTGAAAAAGCTATACAAGATGCCATTTATAAAAACTAGGATCAGACTTATGGACTCGCATTTTCCAGTTTGTTACCTTTGACTTTGTGACCCTACTCTTTAAATAGCTAGAATTTTAAAAACAAAAATGTTATCCCGTGACTAACAGCCTTGTTTTATAATTTTATATCTTTTGGGAACATTAAAAATTATGGAATGTATTGTCTTGTTAGTCTTTTGAACAAAGATCTCCCTCTGGATTTTTTTTTTGAAGTCCTCCTTTTTATTTCCATTAAATGTGAAATCTGGGGGTAGCAGAGGGCTGACCAGAAAGTCTTGAGAACTGGGGTAACAGTGTCATTAGCTGTTGAAAGTAAAGTCGAAACAGACTAGAAATTAAAGGTGAGTGTCCTAAATTGGGAAGGAGGTTTCATACAACATGTAGAAAATAGGATCCTACAGAAAAAATTGAAATTAGTTTAAATGATTATTAATGTTTTATTATACTTGATTGAAAAAAACAGTCTTTCCAACTTCCAAAGATATTGGTGGTCTGGGCATCTATTGTATTCTGTCCTTTCCAGATTATCAACCACTAGCTTGTTTTTCACACATACTCAGTATAGCGGAACACAAAAAGCAAATATTTCCCAGAAACAATTAATAGAAAAGTAAACAAGAAAAAGAGCAAATCCAAGGCCTTTTGGGTATGATGAAAAAAATAATTACCACAAATTGATTTTTTACAGTGAATATAATCTATGTTAAAAGTCAGGAAAAGTTTTGAGGGAACATGGAAGTGAACATTAAAGAATATGCATTTGAGCACTAGAAACTTTGGTCTTAAGAATTAGTAAGAGAAATTCCCAGGAATAGTTAAAAGTTTGAGTAAGGAAATAGGGATGTCATACCTTCATTAGTAATATATGTGCCTTAGACAAGGAGGTAATGCTTTGGGCTTACAAAATTCTTATAGTATCCTCTATTTATGGATTTGATAAATTTATTTATAAAAGTATAAGAATTTAAAAATCCAGTTTCTGAAAGCATAAGGAAACAACAAAGGTCCAAAGCTAAAATGAACTTAATATATTTAAGGAACAGAAAAGCTAGTGTGGCACTACAGGGCATTTATCCACTTAAGAAGATGGAACCCCAAATGACTTCATTACTTTCCACTAGGCCCTGCCTCCTACAGGTTGTACCATCTCAACACTGCCATACTGAGGACCAAGTCTCTACCACACAAATCTTTGGAGGATACGCTCCAACAATATGCAAATCACCATTATATATTTGACTTAATAGTTTTTAAGTTTTTATTTTATTAATTTTGTGGTCCTGGGGATTAAGCCTAGGGCTGTACAGATGCTAGCAAGTGCTCCTAACCCAAAAGTTTTTTTTATTAATGTAGTTGTTAAATATTTAAGTATAAATTTCATTTGAAGTGAATTATTTCAGTACAACTCTTTTATTAATTTTCCACAGGTATAACATTGTCAAATGCCATGGTAAATGCAGGTTTGACCTCCTTTAAAAAAATAGAAGCAACAGATGCCAGAGAACTTGAACTGGTACTTAGTATTCACTTATTCCTAATGTTACCTAAATTCTATTTACATTCTAAAGGCTATCTTTTATGATCTTTGTTTCTATTAAAAAATTTCATAGTCATAAGTTATATATCACTAAGATTTTGGGTGATAATCATTGTTAAGACTATTCATCTAAAAATATTTTAAGTGTTATGGTAAGAATATAATATATAAATATGTTTAGATCTTAAATAGACATCCCCCTTTTGGAACCCAAATAAAAGAAGCTGTGATGCATTTACCAAAATATGAACTTGAAGTACAACAGGTAAATGTCTTCTGTTTCTTAAATATTTTGATTATCTTTCCAAGAGTAAAACTACCCATAACTAGAGATGAGTTTGAATAATAAGGTTATATTTTTAACACTTTTATACCTATCCTTTTTTTGAAGATTGCAAGATATAGCGATACCATGGCGGAAATATAGTGACCATTATATTAAAAAACTTTGATCAGCTACAAACTAAAAGAACAGCACCAGATTCTCACTATACTACATTAATTATAGGTGATGCGGATAACCAAGTAGTTTTTAAGTACAAAATTATGTAAGTAATTATGAAATTTCTATTTGATTTTATTTCTAAGCATTTACCGTAAATGAAAAATTCAGTAATATCACTGTGAGATCAATTAAATTATATTTTTCTTGAGAAAATAATGGGTAGTTTCTCTTACTTGTCTACTAAAGAAGGTATTAATTTTGGGTCTGTTTTAAATTGTTACATTCAGTCCTCAGGAAAACACAGCATATAATCTATCACCATGGTCTGAAACAAATGAATAGATGACTTTTATCAAGTCTTTCTAATTTTGCTGTTCTCTAGTCATTCATGGCCTTAGTACTCTTTAGGTATAGTCTTTCTCCTTCTTACCTCAAAATATAGCTTCTATCTCCAAATTAAAATCCAACAAACTATTGTTAACTCCATTATAGGATATAGAAAAATCAACCTTATGATGGAAGTGCCTTCCCTTATGCCTACTTCTCTAGTGTGCCATTCTATAATTTTCACTTCAGCATTTTTCTAGATATTATTTTCTCCCATGATGTCATAAGCAAACTCTAAGGATGTCAGTTGCAGTTATAGGTAATACTTTTCGAGTACTTAGTAGGTTCCAAGTATTTGATTATTTAATGTTTATATAAGATATAAATATTATCTACAGGAGAAATTGAGACAAAGAAATTTTAGTAACTTTTTTCCCCAAAGCACAGTGCCAACATTCATTAATTCTCACAACACCCCAAGAGGTAGGTCAGCATGTCCCTTTTATAGTAGACAACTGAGACATAAGTCAAGCAAATCTGCCCAAACCTGCTTGAGGGCACAAGGGCAGCTGCTGAAGTGCTAGACCCGAAGCCAGAAGCTAGGGGTCTTGGTCCTGCATGCACCCACTGGTGGACATTGCTTGAGCAGTTACATGAAGGACAAAACACACAGATCTCTTTGCCAACAACAGAAAAATCAATAGTTCAGATGGCCTTCAGAAGCATGTTAATTAAAGAGAAAAAACATTAACCATATGAGTGAGGCAAGAGACCATGCTGAGAGTGGTGAGAATCATCATGACTGATGATAAAGCAAGACATAGGCCAGGCAGTCTTCAAAACAGTATGGAGAAAAATAGGAAGCCATTCAGGGGGCAACCAACCCAAATCCCTGTGGCGACAAATTAGAAAAAGACCATGGAAAATTCCAACCACTCCACCAGGAATGACAATAATTTTCATTCACATTAGAAAGACCAATACTATTTGTAATATAGTAACTAGCAATCAGTATTCTATTTTTCATACCAACTTTAATCCTAAATATTCTACTTTTTTTCTCACAGATAAGAGCTCTTCCTTCTAGCAGATCTCTTTCCCTCTACATACCCATCTGTGCACTGACATGATAACTATCAAAAGGCTCAGTGTAATATGTCTCATGTTAATTAGCTAAGCTAAGAGGGCAGAATCCAGGAAACTATGTAACAGGCTGTATGCTGCTCCTGTATTTCAATTCTACTTTCTATGAAGTGCACACAGAGGAGCACCTCATTCTTTTGTACAGGGACTAGTTAACTTGGTTCAATATGACATTTTTTTTCCTTTATTCATATATTCGTATGTGCATACATTGTTTGGGTCATTTCTCCCTCTTGCCCCTCACTCCCTCCCTCTTCCCTCCCCACCCCCCTAGCTTCCAGGCAGAACCTATTCTGCCCTTTTCTCCAGTTTTGTTGAAGAGTAGATATAAGCAATAATAAGAAAGACAAAGCGTTTTTGCTAGTTGAAATAAGGATAGATATACAGAGAGATTCCTAGCATTGCTCCCATGCACAAGTGTATTACAACCTGAATTGATTCATCTCTACCAGACCTCTTCACTACTTCCCAGTTACCTTCCCAAATTGACCTCTGCCGCTTTAAGGTTACTGTTTAGCTGCTCTGCAGTGGGAACATCACTTTCAAGTTTTGGGTTTCTTACCTATCCCCATTCCTCCCATATGTGCTCTCCCCTTAGCGTGTGACCCAAGTCCAACAACATTACTGCCTTTGCCCTAAAGTCCACATATGAGGGAGAACATACGATTTTTGGTCTTCTCAGCCTGGCTAACCTTCCTCAGGATGATGTTCTCCAGTTCCATCCCATTTACCTGCAAATTATAAGATTTCATTCTTCTTCATGGCTGAGTAAAATTAAATTGTATATAAATAACACATTTTCTTAATCCATTCGTTAGTAGTGGGGCATCTTGGCTGTTTCCATAACTTGGCTACTGTGAATAGTGCTGCAGTAAACATGGGTGTGCAGGTGTCTCTGGAGTAACCTGAGTCACATTCCTTTGGGTATATCCCTAGAAGTGTATTGCTGGGTCTTATGGCAGATCTATGTTTAGATTTTTAAGAAGCCTCCATATTGTTTTCCAGAGTGGTTGCACTATGCATTCCCACCAGCAGTCCCTTTTTCCCCACATCCTCACCAACATTTGTTGCTGGTGGTGTTTTTGATGATAGCTATTCTAACAGGAGTGAGGTGGAATCTTAGTGTGGTTTTGATTTGCATTTCCTTTATGGCCAAAGATGGTGAGCATTTTTTCATGTGTTTTTTGGCCATTTGGATTTCTTCTTTTGAGAAAGTTCTGTTTAGTTCAGTTGCCCATTTCTTTATTGATTCATTGATTTTGGAGGAGTTTAGTTGTTTGAGCTCCCTGTGTATTCTGGTTATCAGTCCTTTGATGTATAGCTGGCAAATATTTTCTCCCACTCTGTGGGTGGTGTCTTCAGTTTAGAGACCATTTGTTTTGTTGTGCAGAAGCTTTTTAGTTTTTTTTAAGTCCCATTTGTCTATAATTTCTCTAATTTACTGAGCTGCTGGGGTTCTATTGAGGAAGTCCTTGCCCTATACCTATTACTTCCAGAGTGTTTCCTACTCCTCCCTGTACTAACTTCAGAGTTTTGGGTCTGATGTTATGGTCCTTGATCCATTTTAAGTTGATGCTAGTACAGGGTGATAAACATGGATCTAGTTTCAGTTTTTTGCAGGCAGATAACCAATTTTCCCAGCAATCAATATGACATTTTAAAAGAAATAAGAAAAAAGAAAAACTTATTAAGACTTGCACTGTGAAGCATAATATTGGAGTAGGAGTAGATTTATTATAGCTACCCCCAAATTTAAAGTGACACAGTGACCACAGAGTTAAAAACTATCAGTTATTTCTGCATATTTTACGATAATTGATTTTATCTATAAGCTTAAGGTAAACTTACCAATGCTTCAGAAATCATACTTATAAAGATTATATGAAAGTTTGAGACCAGCCTTGGCAAGTAGTTCACTAGACCCCATCTCCAAAATAACCAGAACAAAATGAACTGGAATTGTGGCTCTAGTGGTAAAGTGCCTGCTTTGCAAGCACAAGGCCCTGAGTTCAAACACTGGTTCCACAGTCGGTGATGGAGGGAGATCTTTTACATGGAAACTAAGGGTATATAATGCCTTTTAAAAAATGAAATTTTAAAAAATTCATGAAAGGCACTCTGAAAAGTTTCAATTTCAAAAATTACTTAAAGGTAAGTAAGATTGGCAGCAACAGAGATTACTTTTAAAAAATAAACAGTTATAGAAGCTACTTTTAAAAAAGAGTGAACCTTTGGCTTCTGAGTAGGATGAGTACATGATGAGACAACTATCCAGGGGAACACAGTGCAGCCTTACGTCACACAATTGGCATCACCTGTGCATTGTGTTGCTTCTCTGTTCCTCAGAAAAAGAAGGGTAGATGCACTGTGTCAGCTGTTTCACTGTTGTCATTTCCAGTGAGCATAAATGCTGAACATCATTGAGAGAACAAAAATATAATTTGAAGGAAAGCAGCCCTTTTTAATAGGAAGGTGGAATATGGCTTATGTGTCTCTATCTAACATTGCCAGGCAGTTCTGCACCAACTGGAGGTTACTCTTTGCATGCTTTAGTTTTAATTCAGCAAGCTCTATTAAATTTTTCTGAATGTAGAAACTCTTCTTGTCTTAAAATCTATTGTTGTTGTATTGAAGATTCAGATATTTTTTCAGACTTCTGAAAGCAATTGTTGGGAAGGTTCAGCCTTTAAAACATCATTATTTTTGTTCTTACCTTATCCAGTGCTTTATTAGCATTTTCATAATCTACATGTGACCTAGGTCTTTTGTAGAGGAGATCCTTAGCAGATTGAGATTCTTTTAAGTAGTATTTCAAAAGATCAGAAAGTTTAAGGTCCTCATTTTTCTTGATTTCAGACAGTTCTGAATCTTTGAGGAAAAACTTACATATATCTTGTAAATCCTGAGTTTCTAAAGCATTTAGTGAAGAACTAGTTCTGTTGTAGTCATCTGTAGTACTATAGTAGGATCTTGACATCCTATCGGATTTGGATGCATTCTTAACTCAGTTATGATACTCTAAAGGGAATGTTTGTTGCTCAAAAAAATGATCTACATCCTTTACACCTGAAACATTTATTCCATCTGCTGATTTAACTATGCTTTTAAAGAAATCTTCAAATTTTTCTTTTTATTTTTTTTCTCACACATTCATCTTGATTATATTCCAAAAAGACATGGAAATTTACATCTTTTCTTAAAATAAGATGTGCTGCCACATCTTATAGGAATACTTCATGCATTGCAATTGTCTTCTTGAATATTGCCAACTATTCAGCTTCTACATACTGTTTCATCTTTGTGAGTTCCTCCTTTTGTCAGCAGTTCTCCTTCTCCAAGCTTCTGTAGTTTTCCCCTTAAAGCAACAAAATAATGTCTTGGTGGTGATGGTGGGATGATGTGACCTACATAGTCTTCAGTTTCAATGAAGTAATCATGAAGCCAGGTAAATTCTTCATGTTGCTGTACAACAGAGAACTCATTTTGTTTAAAATTTGACAGTGAACTCTTTGTTTGAACATCAGATTTTACTTTATCCCTCTCACTAAAAGCATCAGAAAGGTATTCCTACAGGGGAGTATCACTTTGAAAGCCTACGTTTATTGTTTTAAGTCCACGGTCTTTCTCTGAGAGGACATCTGAGCCATTGTCCAGGCCTTCCATCATGGCTACTAGGATAAGAGAAAGAGATCTTAGTCAGGGCAAAATAGTTTCTGCTGGGTATTGAGGGGGTGGGGGGGAGAGGGAGGGGGCGGAGTGGGTGGTAAGGGAGGGGGTGGGGGCAGGGGGGAGAAATGAACCAAGCCTTGTATGCATATATGAATAATAAAAGAAAAAAAAAGAGATCTTAGTCACTTCAACCAGGTCATATGACTAGTTCATAGCAGAATGTAGATTTGAGCCTTAAGTATTCTGACTCCAGAGCCTGTGCTCTTACCTATGTTACTGTGTTGTAAGCTTAGAAATGATAGTAACTCTAAAATGGGAATCTTCTAATTGTTGCCAGGACACTTGAACATACTTTCCTGAAAGGTCCCATGGAAGGTTCCTAAGGGACTATAGTAAATAATAGGATAATTCCTTTCACTATTAGCTGCTCTCCTGCAGTTAACTGTAGCACACTTGTACAAATCTTTGTTCTGAATGACTATTAAATCTAATGATAACCCTATGTTAGATTAAGCTAAGTTCAATCATGAAATTTGTTGCTAGTTTTTTTGTGACCTTATTAGATACAAACTACTTCAGCTGGGTGTGGTGGCCCACATCTGAAATACCACCAACTAGTGGTGGTGAGGAGAGGGTGGCAAGAGGATCTTGAGTTCAAGGCCAGGTTGGACTAAATAGTGAGAATCTGTCTTAAAAAAAAAAGGTCAGTCACAGTAGCTCAAGACTTTAATCCTAGCTACTCGGGAGGATTGCTTTTTAAGACCAGCTCAGGCGAAATGTTTGTGAGACCCTCATCTCAACCAGTGGCTAAGCACAGTGGTGTATGCCTGTCATCCCAAGCTATGAGGTGAAGCACAAAATGCCAGGCCAGCCTAGGCATAAAGCACGACCCTTTCTCAAAAATAACCAATACAGAAAGAACTGGTGGAATGGTTCAAGTAGTAGAGTACCTGCCTAGAAAGGCACTCTTTGCCAGGTGTGCCAAAACCCCCACCTTTTTTGCAGGGGCAGGGGGTGGTACTGGGGTTTGAACTCAGACCTTGTGCTTGCTAGCCTGATGCCTTTCCACTTCACCATTTCAGTCACACCCTCATACCCCTCCCCCCAAAAAACCTAATTCAAATCATTTTAAAAGCTATTATTGATGTTTTTACAAATAGATTTAACTTATGGATAGCCAATTTAAAGTGGTAGTAATTTAGGCACAAATTGTGTTACTGTCAACTATATATTCCAGGTGGGCCTCAGTGAGTTATTGTAACTTTGAATCAGCTAAACTTAATAGTTCATTGATACTTTATTCTCCCACCTTAGAATTTGGAAAGATAGTTCTCAGTAATCAGTTTACTACTAGAAAGGACCAATTAGTATTTGGATCACTATTTAAATTATGTATTGCTATTTTTCAGGGATTCTGTTTTGCTAAAAACTGGAAATTGGGTTAAAAAAATTGATGTGAAGAGAGCTCTTCTATCTGAAGATCTTAGCATAAATCTAATTAGTTCTGATTTTGGTAAGTTAGCTGATGTAATGAAGACGTGAATGCAAAAATACACTATTTGAAATTATTTCTTTGTACTGATGCAAAAAATAATAAATACATAGAAATGATATATTTGCATAATATTAATAAAATTTAAGGGAATTTCCTGTAGACATGGAAAATATAACATGGACCAAGAAAATATAATTCACATTTTATTTGTTGACTTACAGACATTTCATTTTCCATCAAAGTTAAATTTCAATTGTTAGAGGGACATTTTTTATGATAATAATGTTTAAATATTCATTTGTTGTATTTTTCAATCTTTTAAAAATATTTTAATTTCCTGGAATTCTTAGCTGTAGAGTTGCAGTAATATAAGAAATATAAAAGAAATAAATTGTCTCATGTGTGGATTTATATGACTTAAATAAGCATTTGTATACTTTTTTTCTGTTTCCAGTTGGACTTGATATTCAGCAGAAATTTACGATCTTTTACCTAGGACCCAAGAGGTTTGGAAATCAAATAATTATGCAAAGAAAATCAGAAACAGAGATTTCTCATTCTATACATCCAGGTAGAGCTAATGTAACAGGACCTAGTAAAGGTAAATAGCTCTGTTAATTTCTATTTTATATTAAAACACCAATATGGCCAGGGAGGAGAATCATGATAGTACTGCTCCACTCAGATTGTGAATACTCTGGAATTGGATATTTAGGTTTCAGATATTAGTAAGGAACAGTAGGAATTCTCTCTTATACTTACTGTTTTTCAAATTGGGGCAAAATTGATTAGTCTTTCTATATACATTTTCCCTTTTCTCATACCATGGCTATTGTCAGGGGGAGAAGAAGTGATATACAAATATTTATAGATTTGATGCAGACTGAACTGAAAATGAATTTAATTTTTTAATTTTTTTATTATGTGGATTTTCAAACATGCACAGCAGTAGAAAGAAGTACATAATGAACTCTGAGTACTAATTAGTCAACTTAAATATTGATTGACTCATGGCTAGTGTTGTTTTACCCATATCTTACTTAAATTTTCCTCTTTCATATTTTGAAGCAAATCTCAGATATCACATCATTCCCTCTAAAATGCTTCAATATATATTTATAAGTGGTAAGGGTTTTTTAAAAAATAAAACTACATTGCTTTTGTACATCTAAATGTTCAAATTACCAATTGTCTCATAAATGTTGTAGATAAACACTCTCTTGATAACATATAGATATACCAGATTGGCTCCTGAGTCCTTTTGGCTTATCCCTCGTACTTTTGACAGCTTTCTTTCTGTGCAGGTTGATATGCTATTCTAACTTTATATCCATAATCAGCTTTTTCTCCAAGGATCCTTGTTTTTTTTTTTAATGATAGTAGTTTTCTGTCCATTGAGTGGTCATTATCTCTTGGACTTTTTCCATGCACAAAGTTAGGAAATATGTGATATTTTTTTGTTTTGAAAGATGAAATGCATCATACTTTTATGTATAATTTACACTTATAGGTCCAAATCAAATGTAAATGTGTAGGCTTTGTCCTTGGTCTCAATTATCAGTATATCTTTCATACATGCTGAAAAATTTGATTTTCAGTGACTCAGACATAAAATGTCATTCATTTTTCATCATTTATACACATTATATATACAATAAATAATTTGAAAATAGTAACACCAAGTTACACTCTTAACACAATTATTACAATTTAAGAATTCTTATGGATATTTCTGTTATTAGAATATATCTCTCACTAGGCATGTATAGTCAAATTAATGTGTTTTAAAATCACTTGGAATAGATTCTCTATATGGGGCTATGTTCTAACTAGATATATGTATATGTTCTTTCATTTTATTTTATTTTATGTTATTAGGACTAGACTTAAAAACTTAACATTATTTTATAATAATGTAAAATAGTTATATGATTCCACAGTCAAATCTGTAAAGCAGTGATAAATATTGTTAACAAGAGGCATGGGTAGTCTATTATTCAGCTCTTCCTCATCACTTGGTTCCCTCTTCATTGTTCTGCCCTAGTAAGGGGAGTTAACAGGTACTGGGGAATGAGAGAGCAGTAGTTCCTACCAAAGTAACCTGAATAGTCATTCACACTGAATAGTCTTGGTAGTTAGATAGTAACTGCAGTGAGTAAGTAGTGCAGAACGATCACATTTAGAATTATTCTATGAGCTCATGAGTACAATCTCTTCTTCTTTAGAAGAAGCCCTGAAGAGCATCCATTTCTGGTTAGGGGATAATAGTTCATAGCAAGCCAATGCTTCTGTAGTAGCACATATATAAGTGCTATACTTTGGTTCTTAAATGTCCACTAAAGAATGACATTTTTGTTAGTTTTTTATAGTACTAGGGATTGCATGCTAGGCAAGTGAGTACCACTGAGCTATACCTACAGACTTTAAGGCCCATGTTTTAAAGACTTGGTTCCTAGGAGAGCATGGAACCTTTAAGAGGTGGAGCCTAATGGGAGATCTTTAGGTCACTGGAGGTGATGGGGCCTTCTAAGGGGATTATAGTAGCCCAGCCCCTTCTCTTTCTCTTTTTTGCTTCCTGGTCTTTGAGCAGTTTTGCTTTGCCACGTGCTCCTGCCTTGATGTACTACCTCAGCCAAGTGATCGTGGACTGGAATCTCTAATGTTGTGAGCCAAAAGAAGCCTTTTTTCTTTATGATTTGATTATCTTAGGTATTTATTATAGTAATAGAAAGCTGACTAATACAATGTTACAAAAATATAATTTTTAGTGCATCAGAAATTTGTGGAAATAATAAGCTCTAAAGGAACTAAAGCTCCAGAGAAGAAAGAATCATTCAAGCTAGAGCTAAAGAGTCAAGGGGGGACCCATAGGTTCTTCATTAACAGTCTAGTAGGCTATATCCTACAAAGGGGTTTACATGATCAGCCACTCACCATGTTTGCCTGACAGAGGGAAAGGGAAACCCCCTCTGATGGAATAAAACATAATCTAAACCCACAGATACAATGAATGCCATATAATAAAAAAATTTTAAGGCCAGCAAAGAAGCAAGACCATATGGCTGATAATTACCTATATAAAGAAAATAAAGCAAATCTATAGAGTCAAATAGTTGAGTTACCATATAAAGACTGAAAAATAGTTGTGATTAATATTTTCAAGAAAATAGAGGAAAAATAGACTAAACATATGAAAGAATGGAAAATTTCACCAGAAAATTGAAATTTGAGCTTCATTTGAAAATTAAATGTAGTCTCTGTGTGTGTGTGTGTGTGTGTGTGTGTGCTGCTGGGATTGAACTCAGGACTTCGTGCACACTAGGAAAGTGCTCTTTCCTCTGAACTACAACTCCAATCCTAAATCTAGTCATTTAAATGGACTTGCTAGGATTCAAAAATACCAAATCTGAAGTGAAGAACTCATTATGTAGATTTTATAATAGAATAGATATAACCAAAGACAGGTGTTGTGAATTGTAAGATACATCAATAGAAAATATCCAAACTGAAGCCCACAGACAGAAGAACTCAAAGAACATAATACTCAAAAGGTCTACTTTGCTCAGAGGCAAAGTAGAAAGGGAATGGGACAAAAGCAATATTCAAAGACAGAAAGGATGAGCACATTTCAAAATAATGAAAGACATCAAAGCACAGTCAGAATTTTGGCAAACTGTAAGCAGAAATAAATACACGGAAAACCACAGCTGGGCACACTGTAGCAAAACTACTGAAAATCTTAAAAAAACAAGCAGAGAAAAAGTACACATTACCTTCAAAAGAGCAACAGTAAAACAGGCTGCTAACTTTTCAACAGTAGTGATGGAAACTGGAAGATAAAGGCATGTGAGCTTCAAAATGATGCCAATTTGATTTCTATATGCAGTAGACAGTATCCTTCAAATGGAAGTGAAATAGAGACAGAATAAAATAATTTAATAGTGACATCACTATTACTAAGTTTTCAGCCTGAATTTATAATAAATACTACAATAAGTTCGTTGGAGGAAAGTGATCACAGATGGAAATGCAGGAGGGAATGAAAAATTGTAAAAAGGATGAGTACATGGTTAGTATAAATTGTGTAAAACAACAATTGAAATGACTTGAAGAATTTAAATATATGTGGAATATATTCAGAAAGTATTTTTCTTAAATGTGAAGAATATAAATGGAAAGGAATAATAGAGATAAAAGTAGAAATCAATGAATACAGGATGCAAATGTTTGGCAGAGAAAGACCAATGAAGCCAAGATTTAGTTCTTTGTAAGGATGAATACAATTATGAAGCTCCTACAAATCCAAGCAAACATAAAGAAGAAAAAACAGAAATTAATAATATCAAGAATGAAAAAAGGGTATCACTACAAATAATACAAACAAAAAGTTATTGAAGATCAAAAGCATGAAGACAAGACATATTCAAAACTTCACAGCAATAAGTTTGATAGAGTTTGAAGTAAAATGGGAAAAAAGTTCCTTGAAAAGCAAAACTTACAAAAACTGACCAGAAAAATGAAAATGTCTGATACTAGTAATATAATAGAAGCAATTATTAAAAATCTTTCCACACAGAAAACTCGAAACTCATATGGCTTCACCACTAAATGTTCTTAAACAATTAGAAAGAAATGATATCATAAATATTATGATTTATGACTGATTTATGACAGTGATTTATGACCACACAGTGGAGACAAGGATGATCTTTCAGTAAATGAGGTTAGATCAATTGAATGTTCCTATTGAAAAAAAAATTGTGCAGGATATGGTTTGAGTGTGTCACCCCAGAGGTTTGTGTGCTGTAAGCTTGGTCCCCCGTGTTGCTGCGTTGCTGCCTTTAAGAGGCAGGGTCTGGTGGGTCACACCTGTCCTTAAGGGCAGCAGGTTATTACAAAGTAAGTATACTCACTTGATTGGCCTCTTCTTTAAGCAAGCAGTTTCCTTTCCTTTTCTTCTCTATATTGTGATGCAATCCAAGGGATCCTAATTAAAGGCTGAACAGCTAAAGCTATCCAGTCTTGGACTTTGAGCCTCCAAAACTGAGATAAGTAAAACTCTTTCCTTTATAAGTACTCAGCCTCTCCAGGAATGGTGGTGCACCCTATAATCGTGATTACTCAGGAGAAGGAGATCGAGAGGGTTGCTGTTCAAGGCCAACCCAGACAAAAAGTTGTTGAGACCCTATTTCAACAAATAAGCTAGGTATGGTGATACATACCTATAATCCCAGGTACATGGGAGGCATAGGTAGGAGGATCATTGTTGAAGGCCTGCCTGGGGCAAAAATCTGAGACCCTATTTGAAAAATAACCAAAGTGAAAAAGGACTGGGGACATGGCTCAAATAGTAGAGCAAGAACAAGTTTAAACCCCAGTACCACCAATTAATAATAATAATAATAATGACAATAAGAATAAAAATACTATACCCAGCCTCCAGTATTTTGTTAAAGCAACAGAAAATGAACACAGACTGTATCTTCATCCCATATTCATACTCTCAACAAAATTTATTTCCAAATAAATGGCTGATTTAAATGTGAAAGAGAAATAATAAAAGTTTTAGAGGAAAAATAGATCTTGCAAACCCTGGAATTG